CCTTTCCATATTTAATTAAATCACAAGCTTTCTGGATCTTTCTTTTAAAATATATTTTACTCATGTATTTACCATTTTTAAGCCTTATTGTAAGTAACTATAAATCATTGGAAAAGTAAAAAGAAAAATGGTTCTACTTTTACAGTGTAGCCAAGAAGATGTTTTCCAGCCTCTAAGAAATACACCTCAGAATTGCTTATTCAAAATCAAGTTATCATTATCAGGGATATTTCACGTTATTATAAAAGAGAGATCTGTTATTAGGATTTTGTCAACTAGGTTTGAGCTATTCATTTTCTGAAAGGATTAGTGCATTAAGAGTAGAGCAAGACAGCTTTGCCTAGGTAGACCTGAATGTTGTCCGACAGTTGCAGATCTCCCAGGTAACATTTCCTTAAGTGGAGTTTTTAAGAATGACTAAAATTTGTTCTTCTTCAAGCAGGGTGTTTACTTTCTGTGTTCAGTGTTCTCCAGATAATATGCAGTGCTGCACTTACTGTTCAAGAAACTTCCTTTAGCATTACTTTAACCGGTGGGCTTTATTGATTTGAGATGTAAGAAATTGTATGCCAAAACTTTGGTTATTTTAAATAGTTCTAAACAAGAAAGACTAACATCAGTTTTGACAACAAACAAAACCAGTTTTTGTTCTATTGGTTATGTTTAAAAGATTCCAATTTCAAACCAAACACAACTTGTGGTTATTCTGTCAGATATTTATATAGCCACTGGGGCGCCATAGTTATGCACCGCATACATCATTGTATTTTTAAAATGTACTTAATGAACATTTTTTCTTTTCTGGTAACTACTTCATTGCCTTAAATGAATGCATTCCAATAGAATTTGTAACAAATGAGCACTTTGTGTTTGCATTAATGCCAAACACGTTTAACAAATTTTTAACAAGGAACACTGGCAAAAAGCCAAACTCCTAGAGGGACACTGAAGGAATGCTATAAATTTAAACTAGATTTTACCTTTTCACTCAGCTCAACAAGTGTCTTAGGTGTCTTTGGCATCTTGGCATTGAAAGTTTTCTACGTAGGTTGGATACAACTTTATGTCTTAATTATTTCTCTTCTTGGCCCTCCTTGCTAAAGATTTTCACATCGATATAACAGGCTTTAACAGGTTACTGTATTCTTTAGAAAGCGAGAAGTGGGTTTTCATTCTTTCCATGAGAGTTAGACCAGGAGGAAGTAGCAAAACCAGTATTTATTGTTGGGACTGTAATGACAGAGAAGTTCAAATAGTACATATCATGCCATTTTCATATCCTGTGTTAAGGGAACTATATTGTGGCCAGCACTCCAGCAGATCTGTGCTACCTAATATTGTTTCTTGTGCTGAGTTGCAAATATCTTAACTGTGATCATGTTTGCAACTGCACTTCAGGGGCAGGGGAAAAGCAGCCCACAGTGCTCCCACTGGTCCGAGCTCTGGGCTTGCACAGAAGCCACAAACAGATTTTTGGCTGAATCAAACATCTGGGGGGGATTCTGCAGTTGTTAAGTTATGCCCACATGGTACATGTCATTACAGACCTTGGGAATCACCTAGTCTGTAATACATGTTCATATTAAAAGTGTTACAAGTAGCTCCACAAACCACATGCTTGCTCTCTACTTGTAACTTAATATATTAATTTAATTTTTACTATGTTATTTCAGTTTTAATCAAATGCAGGAACTGAAAAATAATAATACTTAGCACTCATCCAAGACTATTAAGGCACATTACAAACATTAAGCCTTGTGAATTCCTTTGAGGAGCCTGATGTTATCCCTGCTATAGCAAAGAGTAAGTTAGGCACAGAAAAATGATATGGCTTTTTCCTTAGTCACACAATAAGCTAGTGGCAGGGACAGAATTCAGAACAGTACCGTGCCATAGCTTTGTCTTAATTAATCATGTCATTCTTTTCCTGGTTTTGCACAGACAAAAGTGAAAATTGAGCCTGCTTTTTTTTTTTGTTGTTGTTGTTCTTCACGTCATTTAGATTTTGTTGTTGCAAGAGGCACAGGTGAGTTCCAGGAGGACACTTGAAAAGGACTTTATGAGTTATAATCTTATTTTTTAAATACTACTTTTCAGTGTAGTTACTTGTTTCCAGAAAATGAAATAATTTCACATTGTTTGTTGGTATGCTGATTGCAGTAATGATGAATGAATCTAGAGAAGGAAACTGATGCATTCACCCTGACAGCTTTGTAAAAGATGTCACATTATAATGCAGATACCTTGTCATAGACTAAGGAGCAGAAATAGCCCTAACAGGTTTTCATTAATGATATCCTCTCTACTAACATTTGGTCAGATACCAATTCCCTGCAATAAAGTGGTTATTCCCTCTCTTTCTGACTCACTAATTACCATATCAGCCGTTGGCCTTTTATGTAGGTACCATGTGTAACAGGTTAGGAGAGGGCAATTTAAGCCTATGTGAATGGGTATCTGTTTTTGTATCTGGGTGCTTGTTGCAAACATTTGGAAAGCATATGGAGCATAATGGACATTAACCCAGATGTCAAAAATAGCCTGCATTTTACTACTGTTATTAAACAGTTTCCCCTTTAACCCCTTTGTGTTTACCCACCCTCTCCAGCTTGTTTCTGCAAATCACTACTGAGAGGAAAGGATTGGAGGTAAAAAGTAGTAATCAGGCAGGTGTCTTTATCCAAGGGAAAAACAATCTGAACAAATATTTGTGGGCTACTACACTTTTATATCTTCACATCCTTCTGCTGTTTTCATTGACTGGTATCTAATGGACTGTCAGAGGTGCCAAACTCATAAGACATTAATTTCAGCTGGAGCACTGCTGAATCTCAGGCCCGATGTATGTTACCAAATTTTATTTCTGTTTTAGAGGTTCAGTGACCTATACCAAGTACAGCATTGAAGAAACAAATATAAATTTAATTTACTCAACCTCAGCTGGTATTTGACAGCAATATCCTTTTATATATTTATTCGACTTACTTGAGAAATACTTTGCATTTCCTACCTGTGGTGAACAAGTTTTTGTTACACTTCCAATACATGTATGGTTTCCTGATGAATGGGTGGGTTGATTAAGAGGGTAGAGTTTATTTGGGGGGTTCATTCTATAGTAAAACCCCAGTGAAAATTTTGGGAGCAAGCTGGAGAGAGATTGTATTTTGTGATTTGTTGTTGTGCCTCAGATTGGACACTTTATTCTGGTTTCTTATTTTTAAGAGCAAAAATGACTGTTAATTGCAAAGGAACTTCAGCTTGTAAAATATCAAGTATATTGAAGATTTGCTGTGATTATGTTTTAGTGAACCTGTTAAAAAAAAAAAATAGACATTTTTGTGCTACAGTTTCTGGAACAACATACTCTCCACGTTAATTTATGTGGGTACTTCCTATGCTTATGTATCTCTTTGAATGATGATTAAGAAATGCTAAGCACACAAAAGAATGGGAGCTATGAACAGTTCACTAAACGTAATGCATGCTCTGACTTAGAGTTTTCATAAAAAGTTTGCAAAGATTTTATGTGCCAGAACTAGTAACATGATCTACTTTAGGAACTCCCTGGCTTTCCAGCTCTGCAGAAGTCATTTTTTCTCCATTCAAGGGCCAGATCCAAAACCTGTTAAAATCAGTGGGAACCTTTCCACATTTCAGTGGGCTTTAGATTAGTCCCTGAGTGTTTCAACCAGAAGAATTGTACCAACCTCCCACTGGAAAAGCAGAACTATTCATCTAAGTTTGTATTATATAAACCATTACATGTACTTGCCACAGACGTAAACTTGAAAACAGGGATTTAAAATAATTTGTGAGATTATTCTGTAAACAGTTTCACTTTACTCACAGAATAATTACTCTGATAAATATTAGATTCTGGAATTTCAAGTGGCATTTTAGTCAGCTAGTTCTATCTACAAAACATAACAACTCTTCAGCTGTATACAAAGGTGTGAGCATTCTATGGCAATTTCTTTTTCATAAAATTGGATGTTTTGGAAACTTCTAAGGTTACATAAATGCAAGGGCAATAACAGAGAATCCCATACATAATTCATTTCCACTTTTCTAGAAACAAAGTCAGTGGATAAATGAACAAGTGCCCTGTAAAGGAATCGTTTAATTCCTCCCACTCATCTGATATACAGATAATGTGAACAAGACTAATTCACTGCTCTCTGTTCAAGAATACTGTGCCATTTGCTTGCAGCAGAACTAGTGTAACAATAAAAATAATTCAGGCCTCACTCTGTAGTCACTTACAATCAGACATGGAGCCTCATCCAAAGCCTGTGGAAAGCAGGAAGACTCTTTCCACTGACTGACTCGGGCTTGCACCAGCTCCCTCTCGTAGTCCCCTAGATTTCAGCAATGTCAGCCAAGCCATGAAGGGAAACAGTCATTGACTGCCACACTGCGTGGCTGAAAAACTTGTAATAGATTATTGTACATTGTATACTTTTATAAACCTGAGGTTCTTATATCCACAAAACTTTTCTCCACTGTTTTGTAAATTAAAGTGGACCTAATGTGCTTAAAGTATAACAATAAAATATTGCTTTCAGTACCTTCACTTTTGGGGAGTCGTTAGAGGTATTACATATTCTCACTTGCCATGGAACTGAGTGGAAATAAATGGATGATTCCTTTGGTTTCCAAGTTTTATTTATAGCATTTCAACTTCAAAGTTACAGTGCTTATACCTAAGATCAGAAAACTCACCATTCACACAATCATAGGCACAACAGAATTTCATATCCTTGGAATTGAAAATCTTTCCCATTTAGGGGGAATCTTGTCATACAAATCAGCTGTAAAACTAATTGCCACCCTATGAATATAATAGGTGGGTTCAAATCGAATTTCCTTACTTACTCATTAGTCCCTAGAAAATCAATATATCCACTGATGTCTGTGAGAAGCTTGATTAGATGAGAACTAGGATGTTTTGTATACTTCCATCATGTTATTAATCGGAATATTTTGTTTCCTTGTTACAGTTGTCAGAGGAACTAGCGAAAGAGAAAGAAAAAAATGTAGCACTGGAAGCTAACGATGATAATCTATTGCATTGGATCTCTAAATATGACCATGATGTCCTGGAGAAGATCACAGATGCAGAAAATGAATGCTAAGATTGATATCTAATGAAATGCTGCATTAATTGGCATTTTCTCCATTATCTCTTGTAGTCTGCTATGAAATTAGATACTTTGGAAAATAATGAAGGACTCAAGCAGAAATTATAAGAGCTTCATTTCTGTCTTTAATGGGTATTGCAAGTTATTCTGTTTTCACAAAGAAACCATCTGTTCAGAATATTATTGTTTAATGAAGTTCACTTAAACAGGTTATTTAACTAATTTTTGGTAAATTGGTATTGATTTTAATAAGCAATTCAGATTCTCTTAGATGTGGTATCTGCATTTGCTGGTTTTACCTAGTCTATTCTAAAGTATCACTTCTATTGCACTAGATTATCAAAGAGGTATTAGTAAAATGCTATATAAGGGTGTTGGCATTAATCTTACCCCCAGTTAGATGCGGGCTTTTCCAAAAAATAAAAACCAAGCCTTTACCCTCCTCTGTTTTCTTATATCTATTGATATATATATTTTTTTTTAATACTAAAAGAGTAACCAAAAAAACATTGATAGTATAACTGGTATTAAGCTCTGGGCCAGGTTGGAAATGAAATCAATTTTTGGTACTAACAACTGATGACAAAGATTAGCTTTATGAAAATATGGTGTGTGTCTCTGACAATGCATAGGACATCTAATTTGAGCATAAATATAAGATTATATACAAGATGTATCTATTCCTGGACGGTAAAAGCTTGAGGCATATATAGATACATATGTATGTATATATATTGACATATACACAAGGATGTATCAACCTTTTACCATCCAAATGCATACAGGTTTTCAACAATAAAAGCTGGGACTCTTAAAAAAAAAATAAACAAAACCAACAAAAATAATAAGTTTTCTGTGAATACAGTATATGCACTAGGTCTCCTGTAAACGAGGAACTGTTTGTTATTGTTTTCTACATTGAAAAACAGTCTCCAACATGGATCCCAATGAATCTGAGACGTTAAAGAAAATCTCAATCAACAAATGTCACTTAAAAGCTGTTTGTATCAACAAAATGTATCTAATAAAATAAATTTAAATCACATGCAAGGAAAAATAAAAATGTGAAGTCATTACATTCAGTGAGAGAATATAACTGATAGTCAAATTTCTACCACTTCTCAAGGAGAGAATCCTTATGACTCCATGAATATTTCAGTTGGTCTGGCAAACATGTGCAAATGTTTGGCTGTTTTATTGAGAAATCTTTTTGTCCATGGAAGAATGCTTCCATGCTGACAGGAGTGGGAATAGAATATCTGCATTTTTAAAGGACAAACAATAAATTTAAGCATGGGTGGCCTTAATCCTTAGTAGATTTTCTTTGCTGCTGTAAAAAAAGAGAAATTAAATGGATACTCCTAAAGTCTTGCACTGAATTTAGAAAAATTATTTTTGAACCTGTGGTGCAATTAACCCTAAACATCTTACACGAGCCATACATAGTAACCCCTTTAAAATTATTGTCTAGAGATGATATTTTATTTATTTGTACCATAATTCTTGGCACAATCAAAGAGCAATTTATTCGAGCAGGAGTCCTGCTGGATGCTACTGTCTTCAGTAAGTAGAGTAAAATGTATAGAATTAGTATAGCATAGATAATCCCAATTTCATTAATGTTTAAAAAGTTTGTCCTTTAACTATCAATGGCATTTTAGATCTTTGTTTTTGAAACAGCAAAGCTTTTGGGAGTATATTTAGCACATATGACAAATGTTGCACTTGGAAACTCAGACAACAAAACTAGTTTCTCATGACAAATTTGTTGTCGCAGTAGGGGACAATCGTCTGTGTCTCTTACAATCAGGTCTTTACCTTAACTCTGCAACTGAATACTTGAAGTAGGAAATAAACTAGGGGGGGAATAGGGTCACAGATACAAAGCTGTATAGTTAGATATTTATATGTATGTGCCAATTTTGTCACAGATATTATTTTAGGGGCATTTCTGCTCCACTCATGTTGGTAAGAGTATTAATCTAAACTTTTATCAGGGCCTACAAGTTAGCCCCTAAAGAGGAAAATTTTGTCTAACATTGCTTTTTTCTTTCTTCCTTTTTTTTTTTTTCTTTTCATTTCATGTGATATTCTATGATGTTTGGAGAAAATCTTTTCATATACTAAAATAGAATCTCGGGGTTTACAATAAACACTGTGATGTTGGGAAATATTTTATTTGAGCAAAGTTTGGTAGGCTTTTTCCCCCCTCTAAGTGTAAAGAAGCAAACCAATTTTTGGTTAATATTTATTGTTATTATTATTATTATTATTATTATTATTATTATTATTATTATTATTATTATTATTATTATTATTTAATGTGAGGTCAGTCTTGTACTGCACATTCTTTCTTTCATTTAAATGTACAGTATGAATTTTGTATTTAATGAATTTTGTGTATCCAGTATGCACGTACCTGCACATTGACTTTCATTTGAAAGTGGGTTTCAATTTACTTTTTAAACAGTGTTTATGAGAAGACCTCAGATGTGTTGACACAAACTATATCTGCAATGTTTTTTTGTGTGTGTAGGGTGATGTTTGAATGTGGTGTTCTGCAGCAATGGGTCAGTATTATCTATTTACCTTAGGTCCTCATTTGATAGTGCTTCTTGTAATAATTTTTTCAAGTGAGTGGCATGTTCTGGATTGTGATATTGATATATGGTTAAGGACATTGATATGAAACTAAGGAATTCCTAGAAATTACCAGTGGGCATGTATTAGACAGTCATTGTAATTTAATGTCTAGTAGAAGTGTAAAGTACCAAGGTATTTAGAGTTCATAACATTGTTATCATGTGTATGGGAAGTATTTAGTGTTGATCAGCTTGTTTATATTCATCAAATAAACTTTATTTCTTTCTGAAATCAGTGTTGTGTTATTAAAAGTAGGTTTAATGACTGTAAGAAAATGTGTGAGAGATGTTTTCCACATGGTAAATCTATCACACTCCTTATTTCTCTAATTGCTACCATTCAAAGTAATTTATCTTCCTGTTGTTACTATCACATAAACTGTTTAAGAAAGCATAAAAAGGAAAATGTCTCCTAGGCCTCACTTCCAGAGATGCTTACGAGCAACTTTACTAAAGTGAGGAGCCATTTTCCAGATTGGGCTCTTAGAGAGCAATATGCTTTTGAGTGGGTTTCTAAAACATAATATTCTTGTGTGACCCTGTGTAATTGCATAGAAAATTACATTTTGTTTATGTACTTTACTGACCAAAAGCCATAAGGTGTGAAATTCTCTGCACAGTCAGCTCCTTTTTCAGCTGCCTGGTAAGTGGTTCCCCGTTTCCATTATGTTCACTTTTTTTAGAAAAGGAACTTTTGTTGAACAGGAATTTCTTACCTCATAGAACTCCCTGGACCAGCTCAGGGCACACACAGCAGGAGAATAAAAGGTAAGTAAGTATACATTTTACTTAGGTTATTTAAAAACACACAGTCTCTTAGTTTTAAGCTCTGTTTCTTTACCTATAAATTAGTTTTCTTGGTAAGAGAGTACTATGTACTAACATAGGATATTAAGTTTCACTTTTAACTACAGCTAAATATACATTTATTGTATATTCTACTTATGCCTACTTAGCTTTGAGTTGAAGTACTCTAAATTGAGTAGCAGTTGCTTCTATCTTCTTTCTAGACCTGCACCATTTTTCAGAATTGTCTTGTTCTCTATTCAGGCAGTGCCCATATTAGGGGACTCTCCATCCCACTCCATTGGAAACACACATTTTATTATTCTCTTTTCAGCATTAATAATTTCCTGCTTTAAAGGCAGCTCCTGCCTCCCTGCACAGTGAAGGGGACAATACGTGCCAACGCATCGTATTAAGGACATAGAGGAGGACAGCACTGGATTTGGGGTAACTGTAAGAGACTCTTGAGCCCCATTTTCTGTACGATTGTTTTCAGCAAGGAGTCCCCTCTTTCCTTGGTGGAAGGGGGCTGTGAGGACCCCAGGGGAAGGTGCAGGACCAGTGTGTTTGTGTCTGCTGGGTGCCTCAGTGGACAGGAGCTCCCCAGAGGGAAGCTCTGGCTGCAGGAACATCTCACCTGAACTTGAAGTATGAGTTCATACAGCCAAGAGCTCCTCCAGCCCTATACGAGAGAGCCTGAATGAGGGTCAACCCCTTCTGAGCTTGAGGTTTCTTCCTAAGAGATCCTGTTTGTTCACTCCAAACTTAAGCCAAAGTAGCTCGAGGTTTGAGCAAGCAAAAGGATAAGCAGTGGGGGACATTCAGGGGATGAAGCCATGTGTCAGCTTGCATTTGAAGCCAACATGTCAGTTCAGACACACTCTGAAAGCCCCAAACAGCTCCGTGCCAGCACGAGTTGGATAAAGCTAGTTGCAGAACACTTACTGCATCTCCTGGTTGTTCACACTGTGCTCCAAGTCCAGGGTTTGATCCTGGAAGAGCCGCACTAATTATGCACAGAGTCCTGCCCTCTGCAGAAACCTGTTGAGAAAGTACAAAACAGAAGGTCAAACAACTGTGTGACTGTATTTCACCTATTGATATTACTTCTCCAAAACATGAAACTTTAATAACTAATGTCTTAAATCATTCTAAATAAAGCCAAGTCAGCTCTAAATAAGTAATACATTTCCCATTATGAAGCCAGTGGGAGCTCTGCACATCGCCAGGCCGTGATCTGACCCACATATGAAAAGGACAGCTGATGTGGGGCTGCTGTACAGATTTTCCTCCTGTGAGAGTAGAGTGACTATGTCATGCTCCTAACATTTCCAACAAGAAAGCTCTTTTTCAAATGCAGCTTTTCAAACAAGAGGGAACCTCTGCCTTCACCAGGAGTAGCCCATGACACTTCACTACAGATTTTGTATGGCCTGGAGGCACTGATGCAGCAGTAGCCCTGTTGAGAAGCCCACCCTTAACAGATGCAATTGCAGAATCAAGGACTGATTTTATTTGGTTTTACATTCCTTCCACTCTTTGCTCTTCAAAATGATCCTTTCTTCAGAATGAGACTATTCTAAAACCAGATCACCACAGATGCAGTGAAAGAGCAGGCAAAATGCCAGTGCATCCCAAAGGTGTATCCCTTTGTATCCTGCATGTATGCCTTTGGTATGTGCACTTGAATTTGCGTTACAGATAGTTATTCCATATATTCCCACATAGCTACAAGTCTCAGGACAAATCCAAGAACTTCGAACTCATCCAGTTTCTAATGCAAGTGACTGTCCAACTTTAAACAGGCCGTGCTTTTGGTACTCACCCCAGCGAGGCCAGGAGGCAGCAGATGTTCTGGCAGCTGCAGGCTGCCTCGCGCTCGGGGAACCGGGGCTGGAAGAGAGCAGCCAGCTCCCTCCAGATGGAACAGACTGTGGAGGCACGAGTGGGAGGCTGCACAAGGAAGTTAGATAGCTCCAGATAGCGAAGGACTGATGATGTGTGGCTCCCCATCACCTTACCAACTTTTGAGAGGCTGCACAAGAGAAATAAGCATCAATCCACAGTTAACCTGAGTTCAGTAAGAAGTCTTCTTGTCATGGGAAAATCGATAGAGAGGAAATATCTGTGCAGAATGCATGACAGTGTAGCATGGTAACTATTTTTTATTTGAATGTAATTTGGACAAATGCATTACTCACAAGAGAGTTATCCAGGGCTTGCCAAATATGTGGCTAAACAGTTATTATAGCAAATTACACCATCATCTAAACACCTCTGTTTTGGCTCTTAGCTATCTTCTTTTGCAATAAGCTGGTTTTTTTTTTTTTTTTTTTTCTTGATTATTGTTGTCTAACATTGCTGTATTTACTGCTTAGGTTACCATAGAAATAAATAATATCATGAACAACAACATGTGTACAAGCGAATAAGAGCATTTTCTGAATTTCATGAGGAGAACACCATTGTTAATGAAGACTTATATGGTTGGGTAGTTCTTAACATAGTTCTCAAGTCTATTAATTTGTGTCCTCGTATGCATTTTATTATGGGCTTTATATTTCATTTTAAACTTCCAAAAATAAAGAAAAACAGCTGAAGTACATTTTTCTAAAATGGCCAGATTTTGGTTAGAGGTTAACACAGGCCAAAAGAGAACACAGATCTGCCCTGGAGCTCTTACAGTTTTATTTTGTTTTGTTTTGTTTTAATAAAAAGATCCTTATTACAATCCACTAAGGGTCACAGAAATGTGGTCATTACGGATCAGCCATATTCCTTGTGCTTAACTCTCTTGCCCTCTGTACCTTCTCCAGTCTTAGATCAATCAAACATATGAAGGCAGGATTGTTGTCAGTCATGATAAGGATGTGCAATAAAGGACTAATAGAAACTTTACTGAAGTGAACTGAAAGACTACTCATTAAAAGTACGTTTCTGATTGTACCCCACTTGCTTCTTTCTGGAGCAAATGTGTACCTCTACAGGAGCATGGAGCCAAACCATTTCCTCTATATATCAGAATCTGAGCTAAATGTAATTCAGATGAACAAACTGCCTGACTTTTCGAATGCTTTGTGATAAGAAAATGCATCTTAGTTTTCATCACTGAAATTCATTTACAATGTATTTTGTTTACAGTTGTTCTGACTGTTTCTAGGTCAGCACTCCTACCAACTCTTAACACAGCCTCTCATAGTATCTCTGCATTACAGTCACTTATTTCATAGTATTTGTTATGACTGAGTAACTATAATTCACTCCATAGGTTAGTTTGCTGTTGCTATAGGTAGAATTGCTATTGCCTAAGGGAATAAAATGCACTATATTTAAGGAGTCTTTTTTCTAAAACAAAATAAATGCTGACCAATCTTTAAGTTGGGATTACTACAGGAAAAAGAAGAGGCAACTGCCCTCCACCCAGCAATAACTAACTCCCAGGGCTGTCCAGGTAGCCAGTTTTGAGACAAATTGTTCCAATTCTGATGCCATTCACCATGTCAGAGCTATTCTCACTGAAGTTAAACTAGTCTCCATATCTGAAAGCTGAAGGTTGTCAATCTCCCTTGTCGTGGTTTGAACCTGGTTGGCAGTCAACCACCACACAGCCACTCTCTCTCCCTTCTCTTCCAGCAGTAAGCAGGGACAGAGAGCCAGGCTTGGGGTTCAAGATAGGACTGGGATGGGAAAAAATCCCCCTTTATGGGCATGAGCAAAAGGCAGATTTGTTGGGGGAAGGAAAAAAAAGAACATACATTTATTACAGACACTAACAACATGTAACAGAGTAGGACAGTGAGAAGTATTGCCACATCTTGAGAACACCTTCCCCCCACCCTT